GAACAAATAACGTGTACAAGAGATTGGTTATTTCACTGCTATTGAGAAGCCAGATGAACAAACAAAAGAGACATAGAAATGTGAGAAGAGTCGCAAACCTGCAATCATTGCCACATCTAAATTAGTTCGTTCGTTTATTTCAGCCACAATATGAAAATTAATTTTAGTTCTTTGTGGATTATTTCTTATTGCTAATATTGTTTTTATCACTCGAATGTCAGGATTATCCGTTTGAGGTGCCAATATAATAATGGATCGTGCTTGACTGGGACTCAAATTATTTATATCCTCCATCTAAAATTTAATTCAATACAAGAGTTTAACTAATGAATGAACATGATCGAATGAAGATTTATCCACGCCATTTTCTAAGTTCATAGTTTCAAAAACTCCCTCTCCAAAAATTGATCGATGTGTTGTAGTCGGAGTTCTATCTCAACAAAAGAGCGATTCTAGTTCGAGTGCCGGTACACATATTGATGAATCGTTCAATATTAAAAAGTCAGACACTGAAAGATATGATTAGACCGTGTCTGCCTAGCTTACTGGCAGAGCTTGTGGTCTGTAGTCACACTGTCGTCGAGTCGATTTCCGATCGAGACTTATTATTTCATTTGTGTGCTATATTGAAAATGATTGTTAGAGATGAAAAGTGAAGTCAAAACTGAACAACATAAGTGATTTTGTTGCCGAGAAGATTACAGAGGAAACTATTCGGTAAACTTTTCGTTTATTAAGGGTAGCCTCCCCTCTTTTTAGAAAAATTTCGAATTTTGAGCTGAGCATAGCCTAATATAGACGTGGGCTACAAAATGAGACAATTCCCAGCACTCCACGACCTTTCATCAAAAAATTATGCAGTTCTGAAGTTTTTCCTTCAAAGCTTAAAAAGCTCAGTTTTTTAGTTTCATAAATGTTTTCTCTCCTTTTCTGTACATTCAAAATTTTGTTGCGCATAGTTTGATAGTAGAAAGTGTTTTCTTCATAATGAGACATTTGCCAGAATTTTCCAATGAATTTTCGTGGAGATATAAGCATCGCGGCAAATGCCCTAAAAAACGTGGGCTGTGAGCAAAATGCGTTTTTCTCGAAAACTCTTTTTTCGCTACTACGCTTCATTGTACCACATTACGACCCCCCCTTAAATTTCATCCAATCGAGTTAAAAATTTTACCTGAGGTACTCCTACTATCTGAGGTCGTAGCGCAGAGGAATTTTTTTTCAATTTTATTTTAGACTTTTCTTTACCGAGTGATAGGGTTTCTAAAGTTGAAAAATCTGGTTTTTGAGACGGTTTTCAGTATTTTTCCTACAATTGTACCAGGAGAGGTCTTAAAAAAAATTTCCTAAATCTGATCTTGAGTACCTCTGAATTTTGAAGTTGATCGGATGAAATATAAGGGGATTCGTAATGAAAACCCGAGTTTTCTGGAAAACTGATGAACGGTAATAGTTAAAAACTTGAAACAAAAACGAAAAAGTGCTCTATTGAGTTTTGAATAAGTTCTGAAAATACGAAGCCGTAGTGACTTTTAGTTTTTATTTCACAGCATTTCTACGGAAAGCCCAAAATGAGGGGGGCGGTATCCTTAAGAACGACAAAAATATCGTGCTTGAAACCGAAGAAAAAATATATTTTACTAGCTATCAATGTTCTGAAACAGCATTTTAAGAAGCCTCTCTAGTAGGAAAGTCTAAGTAGTTTTGCTAGTGCATCGTTAATTTCTTTTAGTCGTTTTATTACCTACTACTGCGCGAGTATTCATTTATTTACCATTGTCAATCGCTTAGAGTTGACATTCTATCAGGCGCAAGCAACTCGGAAAGTAAAACAAATCGACTAAGCTACTACAACGAAATTTGTCAATAGATAAAGAAGCGCTTCAGGATCGTTTTCCAATTTCGGATAATGGATTACCGCTTCCAGTCAGTCACCTATATTGAAAATTCGTTTTAACGGGGTTTTAGCATTCATACAGCGCGACAATATAGTTTCACCATGAATAGGGCGAATTTCTTGAGTTTTAAATATACGCCTTAATCAAAATCGCGTTTTTGCCATCAACAATTCGCAAGAAATGCGTTTATGACCATCCTAACTTTCTAAAAACGCGCTTTCAGTCACAGCAGGCTTCAAGACTCGCGAATCGACGTTTTCGTATTTAAGACTCAATTGAAACGAATTTAACGCGTTTTGGCTAGAAATGAAATTTGAAAAACACGTTCAAAATTTATAAATTAGTTTCTTTGAAACGTAAAACTCGTTTTGTAGGCTCAAGTCGCGAAATTAGGCATTTCTGTATCAAATAAGTGAGTGAAAAACACGTTTTTAACGCAATGCAACGCGAGATTGGGTCAAGAGATTGGGCGATTGAATTTTCTTTAACGCAACCTATGATTATCTCAAACGCGATTCTCGCGCTCTTTTTAAACGGACTTATCTCGGTAAATTTTTCTTAAACAGCGTTTCGCGCGATATTTTGAAGTTAGAACTGCGTTAAAATGAATTTTCAAAATATATAGATGACTGACTGGGCTTTTCTGCTATGTAATAGCCCTAAGATGTTCAAAATGTATTCTACCGCTACTGGTTATATAGATTAGGCGTCGTTACTGTCAGTGTTGTACCCTGCCACAGGGTATTCAATAACTTCTGATTCTTCACGTGAAAATTCAGTTCATTTTCATCCCAAAAAGTGTAAAATACTCGAAATCGGGTCAAAGTTCTTTGAACTACACCAAACGAACATAACTATTTACCGAACTTTTGAACCGCAACAACGGGAAAAGTAAAAACTACCTGTTTTCTTATTAAGTTTTGTTTTCAAATTAAATTTTAGTTGCACGAGAAAAATGTAGCTATTGAAAAGTTCAAGAAAATTATTTGTTTTTAACATACCAACATTGTATCACCGGTTCGACAAATAATTCTTGTATTTTTACAATCATTTATTTTATCTGCAATCGTATCGTGCATTTCATCACGCTCCTTACTGGATAGAATAACAATTGATGGATTACGTTGACTTTCATTAGCAATGACTAATTCTTGGATAATATCAAATATTAATGGTGACCATCCTAGAATAACTAAAAGAAAAAAAGCAGTAAAGTTAACGTTTTATTTTATAGTTAGTTATGTATACTTGTATGATTGGTTTCAACAACTGTTGATCGTCCTTTTCTTAATTCGCTTAATTTTTTTTCCATAAAAGTGACTATTGCACCAATTAATATTGCAACAATAACAAGTCCAAAAAGTATTACAATTCCAGATAGAATTCGATGATGTAAACCTTTATCTTCTGCAGCGGCACACGGATCAAGTGTACGTGTAAATGTTTCCCATAATGCGTCTTCATAGGTATGTGTTTGACCAGAATAATAATAAATAAGACTAAATAGTAATATTATGAATGTGGCGATAACCGTTAAGAAGGGAATAATAAAAACTAGACCAAGAGAAAATAAATTATCGAATTCATATTTTAAATACGACCGAATATATCTAAATCTCTTGTTACTGCCACCTATACAACATGAACAACATTTATTTCTTTTTGTCGATTTATTTTGCATTTCTTAATATCTAAATGAAAGTTGTGAAAACAGAATTAGAGAAAAATAGAGTGACTGTATCACATCAAACATCCGTTCTAACATGTGATTAGAATGTTTTCCTATTTTTTCTTTTTTACGGGTAAAATTTTTATTAAAAATAGCAGTATAAAAACAGCTGATTTCATCATTATGTAATACTTTTCGACGTTTCGATTTTATTAGAAAATCATTTTCAAGATTGTCCACAAATATAAACTGTATAAAAATTGAATGGAGTAGGCTATATATACAAGTATAGGCCAACTTTTTTTTTCTGTGTTTGTTTCTTTTCTTACATTTCTTTTCCTTTTCACGTCCTGTCCGTACGGCATAAGTCATAGTTCAGTTAGTATAGTTGATGTCATTTTGTGTCCTACTCCTTTCTTTCCACGATCTATAGGACAAACAATGATTTGTTAACCCTTTTGAAAATATAATCATACACACCGACTGCGTTGTAC